TGGGGGGGATTGGGAGGGACTGGAAGGGAACTGGGGGGGACTGGGACGGACTGGGAGGGAATGGGGGGGAACTGGGGGGCACTGGGAGGGACTGGGGGTCCCTGGGCTGGATTTTGGGGTCTCTGGGCTGGATTTTGGGGCAATCTTGGGGGATTTTGGGGTCCCCGGGATGGATTTTGGGGTACCAGGGGTCCCACCCCTCCCTGTCCCCACAGACCCTGGTGACAGCCGTGGTCCAGCTGCTGGTGGCCGAGCCCGGGGGGGTCCCCGGGGGGGTCCCGGGGGGTCCCGGGGGGGTCCCGGGGGGCTCCTGGAGCCTTCGGGGCTGCGGCGTCGCCTGCCTGGTGCGGGACAGCCCCCGGCGCTCCTACTTCATCCGCATCTTCCGCCTGCCCGTGAGTTCTGGGGGGTCCCCAAAATTTGGGGAGGGGTCCCCTAAACCTGGAGGGTCCCCAAAATCCTGGGGGGGGGTCCCAAAAACTCAGGGGGGTGGGTCCAGGACAGCCCCCGGTGCTTCCGTTTCATCGTTCTCCTCTTACTTGAGGAGGGTCCCAAATTCTGGGGGGGGGTCCCAAAACCACGGAGGGGTCCCCAAAATTTTGGGAGGGGGTCCTAAAAATTGGGGGGGGTCCCTAAATCCTGTGGGGGGGTCCCCAAATCCTGCAGGGGGGTCCCCAAATCCAAGTGGGGACCCCCAAAATCTGGAGAAGTCCCCAAAATCTTGGGGGAATCCCCAAAATCCCGGGATGGGGGGAGGGGTTTGGGGTTGGGGGAGGGGTTTTGGGGGGTCCTGGGGGGTTTTGGGGGGTCCCTGACCCCAAATCCCCCCTCCCCCGCAGGCCGGGGAGCTCTGGTGGGAGCAGGAGCTGCAGGGGGGGATGGGCTACAAGACCCCCACCCCCTTTTTCCACACCTTCGTCAGCCACGTGAGTGGGCGGGGCTGGGGGGCGTGGCCAAGAGGGGGAGTGGCCAATCAGGATGTGGGCGTGGTCAATTTTGGGTGGGAGTGGTTTAATTGAGTGGGCGTGGCCAGAGAGAATGGGCGTGGTCACTTTGGGTGTGGTCTGTGCTTGATGGTGCATAACCATATAAGGGGATGGGTGTGACAGTGGGCGTGGCCTTTGGTAATCAGGTCATAACCATATAAGGGAATGGGTGTGACAGTGGGTGTGGCCTTTGTTAATCAGGTCATAACCATATAAGGGAATGGGTGTGACAGTGGGTGTGGCCTTGGTAATCAGGGCATGACCATATAAGGGAAAGTGGGTGTGGTGATCAATGGGTGGGGCAATGCCATATAAGGGAAAGTGGGTGTGGTAATCATCAATGGGTGGGGTAATGCCATATAAGGGAAAGTGGGCGTGGTTTGGGTAAATGGGCGTGGCCTGGCTGCCCACGGCCGCTCCTGATTGGCTCAGGAGGGGTGGGCGGGGCTGAACTTCGCGTCCGAGGCCGAGGCGGCGACGTTCGAGGGGCGGGTCCAGGAGCGGCTGCGGCGGCGACAGCAGCGGGGGGGTGAGAGACCCCTCCCCAAAATTCACCTGGGAACCCCCAAAATGCACCTGGGAACCCTAAAATGCACCTGGGACCCCCCAAAATGCACCTGGGAACCCTAAAATGCACCTGGGAACCCTAAAATGCACCTGGGACCCCCCAAAATTCACCTGGGACCCCCCAAAATGCACTTGGGAACCCCCAAAATTCACCTGGGAGACCCCAGAATACACCTGGGAACTCCAAAATGCACCTGGGAACCCCCAAAATTCACCTGGGAACCCTAAAATGCACCTAGGACCCCCCAAAATGCACCTGGGACCCCCCAAAATGCACCTGGGAACCCCCAAAATGCACCTGGGAACCCTAAAATGCACTCAGAACCCTCC